GGGCTGGCGGGAGAGTGGGGTAGAGCACCCCCGAGGGGACAGTGGGCAAGAAACCGGGGTGTCAGCGCTGCAGAGGGGGCAGAGACCCGGCCCTGCCCGTCCCCTGCCCAGCGCTCACGGCGGGCCCCCCCCTGAGGCCAGGGAAAAGGCTCCCCAGGTTTTCTGTGGAAATTAAATTGCTACCTGCCCAGTACTACTCATTCCAGGGCAAAACGTAAAGCTGTCAAGCCTGCGTGTATTTTAGGTCAGTTGATTGCAGCCTACTCCCTTCAGCAGGTGTACTATTTTTTTTTTTATTGCTGTTATTATTCCTACTAATACTATTCCTCTTCTTCACTCCTCTCAGGGATGTTTCTGGTTAACGCACCTCATGGGCTGCAGTCCCAGACCAGCCTGTGCCTGGGAAATCAGGTAGTATCATCCCTGCAAACCTCTGAGGCCTCTGCATGGACCATCCACTTTTGCAGACCCTCCTTTTAGGGGAAATAAACTTTCTTCCAAAAGGAGTTTGATGTGAAGGAAGAGTAGTGAATGAGCTGCAAGTGTCCCTCCCAGAGGTCTCACAGGAGCGGGGAAGGGACAAGGATGTCTGAGTGGTTTTGCCCTGACAGGCACCAAAAATGTGCAGGAGTGATGGCTCACGTGAAACCCTCCCTGGTAAAACGGCATCCTCGGAGGCTGCGCTTCAGGTGGCCCAGGGGATCCCAGCTGCAGCTCTCAGCCCCACAGGAAACCGGTTTTCCTTCATTCTCCTGCTCCGAACCCCTGGCTGCAGCAGTGCATCCCTGCCTGCAGGGTCAGCTGGGGGTGCTGGCACAGGGTTGGACCCCATCCCGCCTGGGCCCGACGAGCACGTTAATGGTGTAAATTGCAGCACCGGGCCAGTTTGGGGTGAGGCACGCATGAAGGCACTGCGGGTGGGAGCAGCGTTCCCCACGGATGATCTCCAGCTGCTTCCGGCCTCTTCTCCCTCGAGCTGGATAATTTTGCTGTGCCGAGTGTGTAATTATCGCCTCTGTCATCTCCCAGGCTGGGGCGCTGGAGCAGATGGGAGGATGTTTATTTTGTGAGTCCCACCAGCTGGGTGCTTGGGGCAGCAGCAGGGCGAAGGGGACACAGTGGGGAAAGCAGCAATGGTTGTGTTCAGAGAGGAGGAAACATTCCCCTGGGGCAGGGGGGAATTAGCAGGGAGAAACCTCCAAACTGTCCTCTCTGCTGCAAGGGGAGAATGTTCCCACTGCTGGGAAAGGACAAGGGTGCCGTGGCAGGCTGGGAGGAGGAACAGCTCTGGCCCAGGGGTGGATGTTGAGGAGGCACAGAGGAGTGAGCTGTCTCGCTGGCTCCTTGCTGGAGGCCAGCAATGCTGCGCTGTCACAGACACGTCTGTTCTGTCACCCCACATCGGGGGGGCACCCAGTGAAGGCATGTGCTGCAGGAGCCAGGGCCCTACCACCAGCTCAGCTGTGTTTGGGGCAGGGAATCACACCAGAGCCCTCACACTATTCCCACTGCCAAATCTGTCCAGGGAATATTTTCTACCTAAGTGGGACAAGGGGGTGTTTGCGATGGTGGGGCCCCTCCATGCCGGCCTCCATCCCGCTTCGGAAATATCCCGGCAGCTGTGAAGGAGACAAAGAGGGCTTTCTGCAGGGCTGGATTTTTCTTTGTGTCCCCATCCCTCCCCTTCTCCCGTGGCATGCCTTTTATCCAGCTCTCCGTTTCCGAGCACCAAACTAAGGAAAAGGGCACTGCCCTCGGCTTTCCCTTCTCAGCTTGAACCCCCCCAGCGCCCTTTGAAATCCCACCACATCCCTGAGGTCACTGATGAATATGGAGTTGCAAAAGCCTCCGTGGCTAGAAAGCACTTAAAACGAAGCCATTTGTAACAGCAGCAATGAGCTGCCCTGTCAGAGCGAGGACCGGGAGCTGGTGCGTCGGTTGGCACCCGCCGTTAGTGGCACATGGGGATCGTGCAGCCACTGTTGCTTCTGCTGGCACCCGCTGGGGTGGCCCCAAAGGGTTTCTATGCGTTTGACACGCTCGTTGCATGCAGCTTGGCAGTGCGTGCATGCCTCAGGCCGGTGAAGGGTGTGGGCTGCCTGCACATTTGCAGGATGCTGTGGCTTCAGGAGCTGCCGTTTGCTCAGGAACATTTCAAAAATGAGACCCGAGGGACTCCTGACTCGTGCAAATCCAGGGCAGGGAGTACTGTTGGTTGGGTTTCCCTTAGAAATGGGATACTGGCTGGGGAACTGCAGCCAGGTCAACTTCAGCACAGAGGGACATCTCCTTGTGAGACCAAGAGAAAGCTTCCAGGCCAAAGGATTGGTTTCCTTCCTGAGAAAAAGGAAAAAAAGGGGATATAAAGCACCCACAGCTCCTGCTCTCCACAAGAGACTCTTGCTGCAAAGTGGGGCAAGCTCATGAACTCTCCTGCTTCCCAGCAGCTCCTATAACCCCCCTCTCACCCATCGCTCCAGCCAGGCAACCCAGACCTTATGGTTGTCCCCAGCAAGCTTTGGTGGTCACTGGGAGGAGCTGCTTTCTGCTGCCAATCTTGGTGTTGTGTATCTGAGCCTGCAATCTGCCTGGTGCCACCCCAGCTACGTCCCTTGCTCATGGCTGCGGCATGGGGCTGGGGCCTTTTCCCCAATTCTTTACATCCCCTTCTCTGAGGGCTGTCATGGTCCACATGTTCAAACCTGTCCTGAAATAAAGCTGATCCCTGTCGGTTTAACCCTTGCAAACCTGAAAGGGCTTGGACTGATGGGTCATGGAGATCAGGGACAAAGCATCAAAACACACATCAAAGGATGGCATTGCAAACCTAGAGAGAAGCAAATAACCCTGGAGCACAGAGCTAAAACCTTGGGCAGAAGCAGCTAAATTGCAGATACTCAACTGTCCTCCATCAGATAACACGTTGTCACCAGCAGTGCAATGCTGCAATCCAGACCTGCAATCCTGGTGGAAATCCTCTAGTGTTTGTGCTGGAGGTTAGCTCTATTTATATTCTGATGAATGATTTACTCGAGTAATTGGCACACAGCTCCCCTATTACAGATCATAAAGAATTAATCACGAGATTTTCAATGCTCCCCTATCAATTTTATTAGGCTTGATTGAACGCGGTGGATTGGGAACATATGGTATGTGAGTCAGACTGTGCTCCCAGTTACACCCTGGTTAATGCTGGGGACTTACT